TGCTTAAATTGGAAAATTTACTGCGATGATCATTCTTCACTTTCATCTACAACCGCAGTTCATATATGAATTATTTCATATAAACTTCACATCAATATTGTATTCATGTCATCGAGTGGAGAAATTTAAAAAAAAACAAAAAAACAAATAAAATTTACTTCCATTTATAGGCTACTGTTTGTGAATCTCGACAGTTGGTCGGTCGGGGTCAGTCCCTGGGTTGGTCAGTCGGTCTGTCAGACCGGCATTAAAATTGATTGGCAGACTAACTGACTGACTGACCGACCGACTGACCGGCCTGCCGACCGACCGATTGACCGGCCGGCCGGTCAGTCGGTTGGTTGGTGGGTTGGTCAGCCAGTCAGTTAGTCTGCCAATCAATTTTAATTTTATCAGTTTTGTGGACTGTTATCTCTTTGATAGGGATCTAAAGGACATTGGCTGTCATATTCATGTACACTCACTTAACAAGGTGAATATTTGAGTTATACCTCCTCAACCTGTCCTTGTACATTATTCAACATCTTAAGGTGTATTTAAGTATGATATGTATACTTTCTCCGTTTTTTCCGGCAAGGTTTAAGTTTTGCTTGCTTACAGAATATACATTACATATTGGATTTCACAAGGCATACAACTTATTGGAGACAGAAGAATCAGTTACTGCTTGTGGAACTTGCCAAAATGTAATTTGCTCAATTCTCTTTTGTCGGATTGGTCGCCACCCTCAAAAGAAGAAAAAAGCTCTGGTGGCTCAGGGAACCAATCAGAATTCTTCTTTCATTTTAGAGCAGTTTAATACTGAAGATACTGAAATAACCTCACATGGGTACCTAGTTGTATGACCACATAAACAAAGGATAGAAAGTCTGTAACTCAGTTTATGTAGTCTTTTATTAATATCTATTATTTCTTATTCATTTTCATATAAGTTCAAATATGATGCCAAATTTTCATCCAAAGTAAATGGTGGAGTGAAGAAGGGTGTGATATTTGCTACATACTCATCACTAATTGGAGAGAGTCAAAACTCTGGCAAGTACAGCACAAGATTGAGCCAGCTACTGAGGTGGTGTGGTTCTGACTTTGATGGTGTTGTATCCTTTAGTACATGACCATATTGTAATGTTATGAAATTGTTGTGATTAAGCTGGACATTATGACCTGGTATATACCATAATTAGTGTTGTCATCGCCGTTGGCTCATGTCCAAGCATCAATCTCTTCTAACAGTATGGTCTCCTCTTGCTTTGATGGCCTCGGAGGTGGCTTAGCAGGCCAATCCTTGCATAGGATTTGCAAGGGCAGTGAGGGCATGGGAGGGTGGGCGGTGGACGAGGAGCTGTAAGGCGGCATAATTAGTGTATCTCCAAAGAAACTAGCCTGTTGTAACTAGCCTGTTGTACCCACTGAACTGGAATATTAATTTAGGCAGAAAGAGTACCTTGTAAGTCAAAAGACTGTCTACCTAGGAGGAAAGCTGTCATTGTTAACAAACTTTGACTGTTTTCATGGTAAATAAAACTTCTTTTTCCTGCTAGGTGTTGAGTAACTCTTTCAGTACTCAAAAATACAAGTTAATTTGCTTAGCCTTGGATAAAAGCGGTAAACTCAACAACTGTAGGCCACTAAAAGCACAATAAATCAGCCTTGTGGGGTTGTCAATGTGGCTGGATTTTATTTGGTGGTGACTAACTTTTCATGTTTGGGTGGCAGCCTTGCTGCTTAATGTTCAGCTATCATGGATATTAATTTTTTTAAAAACATTTTCTATTCTCAAATTGAATGAAATCAGTATATGTTATTGGCCAGCTGGGAGGTCCGTATAGTGAAAAACTGTGACCGGTCTGCCCATGTCCGCAGGCCTAGGGCAACATTTTCAAGCCCAAGGTCACAGTTTTTCACTATAAGGACTGACCCTAAGCCAGCCATCTACAAACCATTCATAAAATAATCTTTACACTGAGTGAGTAACTCAGATACTAGACAATAAAAAAGAAAGATATATTAAAGAACAGATTTATTTCACCAGTTCAGCAGTTAAGCCCTGCAAAAGTGTTTTTTCAGTGTGAAATTTTGTGCAAAGTTTGAAGTTGTACTACAAAAACAATCTCTGTCAGTTGTTGAAAATCACTTGAAATCAGAATAGCAGAAAGCAAGGAAATTCACTGAGTGTATTCAACAGAAATTCTCTCAAATACAGCAATGATCAGAGAGGTAAACTTGACTGAAATTGACTTATTTTTTACTTAAAATTGTACAGAGAGAGAAACACAGGATTACACACCATTACAACGCCGAGCCACAAACAGCCGAATAAACTTTAACAACTTCAAAAAACTCAATTGAATTTTCTTACAGTGACTTTCCTTGCCATTTAAAGGTGAATAGGAATAAACTTGCGTTGATTAATTGTCAAAGGAAGTATAAGAAGGGTAAAAGATTGACGATTACCACTAATTCGTTCACCAAAATAGATCAACATGACTGTTTCTGCTAGTTGTGGCAGGCCGGATGGGAAAATTCTGCCCCCTCTCGGAACCAATTAGATTGTGGGGTTTGTTGAATTCCGCCTGCTCATGAGCTGAGATAAAATAAAATAAGTTATTTTGGAACTACATGACTGTTATGTCTGCAGAGCAGGCTGCTTGCATCTTATGTATTGAAGCCACAGACATGTTGTAGATGAAATAGTTTGCTATACAGTTCCCTTGATTTTTGCATCAGATAGTGTTAGATGAGTGCCACAAGGCCAAAAACTTAGTTCCAAGTGGTTCTTCAAAGCCCACCAAGACTGGACTAACCGTCTTAGACCTTCAGAAGAAACTACCCAAGGCTAGGGTAATTTATTGTAGTGCAACAGGTAGGAAGAGCATTGCCATATATTACAAAATTTGGATAAAGTTTAAAGTTAAAACTGCTTTTAGTGTGGACCATGGGAATATCCATACTGTCTTTGTCAACTCAATTCAGGCTGGCCAGCTGGGTCTTGTTATTCTTTCTAGGCTGATTTGAAGTATCATGTCTTTTGTAACATCTGTTTTTGTGGGGCTTACATGTATACTGTGGAGTTGAAATCTGGTAGACCTTTTCCAGAACCCCATTGCATGGCCTTGTAACCAGGAGAATGAGCTGAGAATATAAATTGGCTATATACTCAATTGGCTATATACTTGGGATTAGACGTACATCCTTGGAGTCACCTTTTAGGCAAGACACAACAGTAACAATGTCTCTCTCCATCTGTATGTGGATGTATAAGCAGGTTTGTTGAGGCAGCTGTTACAATATTGTCATAAAACTTGATGAAATCCTAAGGGGATACAATGCTGAACTGCTATTCCAGAGGAAGTAATGGTACTACTAGTTGTTTTACAATCACAGCAAACTGATTTAGCTACCAAAACCCTTGGAGCAAGCCTAAAAAATGGAAATAATAAAGTTAATGCATGTGTCATATCACCAGTCTGGTAATTTTACAAGACAAACTAATGCTAGTTCTAACAGTTCATTTGTGACATATAGGTGCTTCTGAGCCTAAGAACATGGCCTATATGTCTCGACTTGGAATATGGGGACCAGGAACACCTTTTAGAGAGTTTAGTGATTTCATTCAAGCTGTTGAAAGAAGGTAAACCACTGTTTCAGTATTAGTTAAGACTTCAACTCCATTATCACATTTGCACTTCTTAGTCATTACCTTTTTGGTCACAAGTGAACTTACTGTAATGCTAGTCAACAGTTTACCTACATGTTAGTGACTTAAAGGACCAAAGTCAACCATGAACCACTGCAGGCAAACACTTCATCTTCAGCATTTTCTGTAATGCAGAAATTTGGGATCTCCTTAGTGTAATCTTTTATCTATTTCCATCCTTGCGATCTCAAGATAAAACTTGTTTAGCCTTTGTAGGGAGCTTTGTTGACATTAGCGTGCTTGATTAACATGGTCATATGTCCTGCTGAATGTGAAATTATATGATCAAACAGATGTTGTTTGTAGAGGAAAGATTAACTCGCCACAATTAATTTTGTTTGCAGGTTTCTGCACTTAGTGTTTTCAATATGGAGTTAGTAGTATTAAAGACAGTTTTACAATTAGATCTACATTACATTAGTCTACAGGATTGCTTTGTTTACTGCACAAAATAAGCTAAGCTGTAGTTATTTGACAACAAACGTTGAGCTCCTTAATGACTGCTGCTTTATTGCTTGTGTAACTGTTGTTGTGAACATTATCATTGTTAGTGTTTGTAAATACAAATAGTACATCATTGTAATAATTTTTGCTTTCGTCTCTAGAGGAGTTGGGGCAATGGAAATTGTAGCCATGGACATGAAGGTGATATTTTCATTTTTATAATATTTTTGTACATTAGTTTGTAAAACATTTTCAAAATAATAGTATTGAGGAAACTGAAGTTCACTGCTAGACTTCTAAACATAGCTTTAACCTTCACTATTTTCTAAACACTCATGCTCATGATTACTCACACTCAATGTAATGAACAACAACAATAATTATTATTAGATTTCTATGGGATGATAGTTGATGAGGCTGAGTGTAAAATGAACTATTACTACAATTTCCATTTATTTCTCTATGTAGTATTAAACTTGACAATTTAGCATAGTTATGCATTCTGAACTGTCATTTGAAATTTGCAGTTTTGTACACATGCTCATGCATTTTGTAGAACAATTTTGAGTTTTCAAATAGTCTATGAGCTGCTAATGTCTTATTTTAGTCTTCTACGGAATATAATTATCCAGTAATATTTCTTCATGTTCTGTCTAAATTTGAAAAAAGAAAAACCTCTCCATTTTTTTCTCTCCAATGTCATTGCACAGTAATGGGTGATAGTGTGCAATAGCTCAGCCAATCAGATTGCAATATTTGTAGTAGTGTACTACTAGAATTCTCCCAATAACCATAGTGAGCATAAGACGAAAAGGATGTGGTAGGTTCATGAACCACCTTTAGTTAGGAACGGACCATTATCTTTATTTTCCAAGTGCAGAGTGACTGACACAAAACTGCATATAAATCAAATGACATTAATTTAAGCTCTACTGAAAGTGAATAATAATTACTGGCTTAAATATTCCTAGCAGTTCACACATTCTGCACGCAGTGAAAGCTTAATTATTCTGAGTGGCTTACACATAGTGCATATATCTAGTATTACTGACAACAAGGGGATGGGCAATTTTCAAACAAAATTCCTGCACAACAAAAACTGCTGAAAAAACAACCGTGCAAGGGGAGCCATGGGAAAAAAGAATCAAGTAAGCCCTTTCTACTATCCAGGTCCTATTTTTGAGGATAGAAAAATTCTTGCACAAGTGAGTGCCAGCAAAAAAAAAATCATGCACAACCTAAAGGAAAAATTCAATGCCTCAAAAAATTGCCCACACCCCTCTTAAAAAAATTAATAGTCCATCCCTAAGTAAACATGCTCAGCATAGATGTAATAATACTAACTGTACATGAGCCAACTGAGATATTCCTGATCTGGATGTGATCTTTTGGTTGCTATTTAAACAGTATTTAAACAAATTTCTAAGATGGTTTGTGATAGAAGTTAATTTTACCTTTACTTTTCAAGTAAATTTTTATTGATTTTGGTCAGCTCCGTGGCATGTACATGACACGTCAACTTAGCTTTGCTGGAGTGACATTTGACATCAAAGAATTGCCTCTGAGTAAAGACTTCACTGACATGTATGATGAATCAGTCAAACTTGTAAGTGATATCCCCTTGTTTCCTGTTATTATGTTAAGTGCAGCTTGGGGATATTTTAGCTCTGACTTTATGATTCTTTGCCTTGTCAACTGGAAAATCTGAGCATAAGTGAACACAAGTCAAGTGAGCACAAGTCAAGTTCATTGTCCAAAATGTTTGATAGCAACAATTTAACAATTTTTTATTTATTTTCTACAACATTTGTTGTATGGTTCTTTGTTCTTTAGCCACTTTTCAAATGATTTGGTAGATTTTTACAAAGAGTATTTTACTATTACGGTAACCATAATAAAATAATATAAAAATAGTTTTGTTACATTATTCTCTATTTGGGTGTAACTCTAAAGTACATGTATGGTAAAGAATTATTATTTGGCTAGTTGTATTTGTTGAAAAAATGAATACTGGAAGTTCTTTGACATGGATTGGAAGATTTTTCCAAATTTTCAAATTCCAAACTGCTGCTTTCATTCTCTTAAAACTAATAGTGGAGAGAAGCTAGAGAGAAGTTTGAGAAAGCTGCAGATTTAATGGAGGCTGATGGTAGAGTGAGGAAGACCATATGGGGTCAGTTTTGGTCTGCTCATCAAGTAAGTATTTACTAGTTATACATGGAGAAAAGGTATTGGGTTAGTACATGTCTCCATACTAGTAACTCAATTACAATAACATCAGTAAGTGCATGCCACGGAATCGTATTCTGCCTGTGATTTGGTTTAGCCACGGTTCACAGATCACACGGTTCAGTTCTATTGCGTTCATCACATGAGTACCTACATTGTACATTTTGTGGTGACATGTAGACCAGTATTATCTGCAGTTTGCAGGTCTATGTTTAAGACCTACTGATAACAGCAAAAAAACCATTGTCAAGGTGTCAGCCCTGCTTATTAGATCTTTGATAAAGAAAATGACAGCAAAGGAAAAATAATCAACTGAATATACAGAAAGTTTTGGTTTCTATAATAAGTTGCTGTAGGTTTTTATTGTGAAGTTTAGAATGTTTTATAAGGCTAGATAATATTAGCTGTTTTGCAAATGGCCATTCTTAACAATGATACATGTATATATAAAGAGAGCATAACATGCAGGTAATTTAAGTGGTGTGAACTAAGTGGGCATTCTCTGACTTCTATTGCAGAGATTTTTCAAATACTTGTGTATTGCATCTAAAGTGAGCAGTGTTGTTAGTATTGCTAAAGATGCCATTGATAATGGAAAAGTAAGTGTTTTTTTTTTTACTTTCATGATTAAAATAATGTACTTTGTTGGGATCAAATAAACTCTTCTCTCCACTAATTGTTAATAATAATGTTTAGTACACCGTAATTATTCACAACTTGAATTGTAAACAAAGAAAAAGCTGCTATGGAAAGGCAAAATTAAAAACAAAAGGATAAACAACTGTCTTATTGCAAGTGAACACTCAGGTAAAATTAAAAAAAAAAATACTGGATCTCTCATCTGTTGAATGGGACACCAAATTATTTTCAGGTCATTTTCAAGATTATCTATGTTATTTTTATGGTCATTGTTGTTGTTGTTGTTGTGTTTTTGGGCTGCAAGTACATTAGAAAGGGACTGTTGATCCACAGGGAAAACATTTTTTATTTTTGAATTGAACCCAGCAAATTCTTTCATCTGACGGCTGCTGAAAACATGGGAAGATATTGGGTCAACAAAGCTGTTGCCGACATTATGTTTAAGAAGCCCTTCAGGCTCCTTGTTTCAGAAGTAAGGAGCTCACCCTGGCTTGTAGGCTTCCAGGCTTGATTTTTAGCGAGGGAGGGGTTCTTGGACAAAAACTAGTCTTGTTAAGGAGCCCACTTCCCACCTCACCAGCCTTTCCTGTGGATATTTCTTGTATACCTGAAGGATAGAAATCCCCCCCCCCACCCCCCCTCCACTATCAGAGCAAGAAAGTGCTCTTAGGGTAAAAATAAAGGGCAGTATTAGGTAGCTGGGTACATCATTTTGCCACAGGTAACCATATATTTCAAGAGTTATAGTTCTCAAATAGTTGACCAGCTGGAAGCACAGTATGGCTAACCTAAACTTGTTTTTGGCAGTCATTGCCATTGTGGTGACCCTCCCACTGATACATGTAGCTTTTCAATCCAGCTAGCTGCTTGGAGGTTGAAACACAGCAAAAACAAATAGTAGGTCGCAACTCAAAAATTCAGCAATTTCAAAAGCTACCACAAAAAATAAACTAATGCCCCCATTCAAGAGAAGAGAGCTTTGGAACTTGCGGAGATTTGTTTTGGGTGGGGAGGCATCTTTCTGGATGAGTAAAAATTACACCGGATCCATGAGTAGAATTTGAGAGTCACTGACCCGAGTGGTGATTGCTGTCAGAATTTAGTTTCCAACCCAGTAATATACACAGGCAACACATTATACTGCTTGCACATCTATTTTTCATGATCTTCTTAGTTTCCAGACTTCAAAGATAAAACTTAAAAAAGATCCTTCCCTGATATAATTTAGATACTTTTTAGCTCAACAGACGTTTCAAATACTGCATTTCTTTGTTAGTGTATTATTGTAGGTCTGCAGTCAACAGGAGAAGCTAGAACACTGGAGCAGCTTGAAGAAGCAGGGGGAGAATTAACTGACTTTGTTTCCACTGCTAAGTAAGTTCATCAGCATGTAAAGATTAAGTAACTCCCAAAAATCACTCTCAAAAAGAGTACAAATGTATAGTGATATTGTGTAGCTAGTTATTTGTACTGTAGAAAACCTGCTTGGCAGGTCAGTGTGCATCATGCAAAACTGTGTCTGTCACACTCTCCCTCTTTCGATGAAAAATTGATTGACTATGGCAGTTGGATAATAAATCTCTTATTAGATGTTTTAATTTGCGGCATTACTGTATGCCCTTCAGGCTCATCAAAATACGGCACAACTCATAAAAATATACAGCGGTACGACACACAAGAACATCTAATATGATGTGCATTGTATTGAACCCGCTGTACATTCATTCTGTTCCAGGGGTGTGTTACAAGCTTTAATTGAAAAGCAGTTCCCAGTGACAGACAGAAGAAAGATTGCTGATCTATTTGCTGCTAATAATGATTCCAGAGACAAAATACTTGGCAGATCATCTCCTGCTTCAAGACCGGGTACCCCCAAAAAGAGGAGACAGCAAGGTCAGTCAGTTGTTCTTCCCAGCTACAATACAATACAATAAACTTTATTTACAAACGGTGAGAGTGAAAGCTACAAGCTTGTGTGGCCTTGTAGAAAGTAAAATTTAAAAAGATAAGTAAAGTTATTCTATAAAATAGCTAGCCTGTGTAACAGGTGCAAATTGGGGAAGAAGGGCAGGGGGAACTGCTCTCTGGCTGGATAGATAACATCTGCATTGAGTTATTTTTCAACAATAATTTTAAAAGCACTTCAGCTCACCACTGTCTGTGATGACTGTATGGCCATAATGTGGTGATGCTACAATACTCGTATTGAGCCTTTGACAAGGCTACACCTCATAAGATTCTTAATTATAGTTCTGCATCAATGTAACATTTCTTTGCCCAATTTACAAATCATTCTGATCAGCCAACTGCTTAGCTAGTGCACAAGCATGTCACACATTTTCATTACTGGTTCTAGTGCTTTCTCTAAATATGCTCATGCTACAGGGCGAAATATACTCAGTGTCTGACAGTTCTTCCACTGAGAAGAGGATACAAGTGTGAATTCAGACATTAGCATACTTAAAGCGAATACAACCAGGAGTCCCTTGTGGCCTTAAAAGCCCCGAGAGAACTATGTGTATAACTTGACCAATACAGCTGTACCATAGATACATACCATTGATTACTTTAAAGTTCTTCAATTTGTTTAATTGATGATATTTGCAAGCTCATCGTTATTGTATTCTTCAGCTCCCAAGGCTCCAAAACCCAAGAAAGTCAAGACTGCTCTTGCGAGGATCTATAACTGTAGGTTTAATCAGATTAAAGCCTTTGCTATGATGTGTGGGTTTTGTGTTTTGTTACCCAGCTTTACCCTGACCTAGCATGACCTAGCATGTTTACATGCTGTGCTAATAGTGTGTGCGCCTCATTTCATTCAGTGAGCAGTGGTTCTGACAGTGACTCTGATGACAGTGAGAAGAATAGCACAGAGAACGAGCTGTCCAAGTTGAACAAACCAAGTGGTAATGATGAGGGAGCAGATTCTGGTAACAGTACAGTGGCAGAAGATGAGGATGACTTCAATCCCTTTGGAATGTCAGGATCAGAAGATGAAGGTGAACATCTGCAATTTGTCTTTCAAATATTTTGTACACAGAATGTGTGATACAGGGACAGTTGAACTGAATGCCAAATTTTGTGACGCATTCTAATTACTTAACATTGTCTTTTTCTGACTGGAATATTTAAAATAATCATATAACTCAAAGACTTTTGCTGTATGTCAAATCCAATTGACACAAGAAACGCTTTATATACCGCGAAGAAATGAAAAAATATGAAAATATGACTGGCTAATTAACTCTTTTAGGTTCAAACCAGATGATTTTAGTTTACATGGTACCCTCTAAATAAAAGACTAACCTCTTTTTTCAGACCCGTGGCTCCATCGCAAGACCAAGAAAAATCCCAAAACCAGATCGCCATTAGGAAGTCCCAATGTAACAACTGACCCAAGCTCAAGTGCTCTGGCTGCTGCCGGGCTGAAAATAGGCAGCCTTCCATGGAGCATGCCCACTAAAAAATCCAAACAACTCAATGGCCTGGGAACACAGGATTCATTGACTTCTCTTGGTAAGCAGCTTATACTGATAGTCACGGTATTTTGAGTAATTTTGGCCTCGTACAAAATCACCTATAAATTGAAGAAAACCTGAAAATAATAGTTTACTAAGACAGAAAACAGTAAAGAGATATTTAAATTTTAAAAATCATAAAGGGAGAGGGATGGTTAAGAATGGAGAAGATTGACATGGATACAAACAACGAACTTGAAAACTTTAGGCTAAACTATTGAAGATGCGCAGACTGTGACGTATAGTAGCTCCTTTACCGTGTGACGTATAGTAGCTCCTTTACCGTGTGACGTATAGTAGCTCCTTTACCGTGTGACGTATAGTAGCTGCTTTACCGTGTGACGTATAGTAGCTGCTTTGCCGTGTGACGTATGGTAGCTGCTTTGCCGTGTGACGTATGGTAGCTCCTTTAGCGTGTGACGTATGGTAGCTCCTTTACCGTGTGACGTATAGTAGCTCCTTTACCGTGTGACGTATAGGAGCTCCTTTACCGTGTGACGTATAGTAGCTCCTTTACCATGTGACGTATAGTAGCTCATTTACCGTTTGAAATCTTTACTTTGACTTTCTGATGGGTTCAGTTTGATAAGAACAACTCATTTGTGGGAGTTCAGTTCTGTATAACCTTGTGAGTCTGTTCCCAGTTAGGAATACTTGGAGGAGCCAGACATGTAATTAGTGCTAGCTCTTAACTCTGGTTTCTGTAACATGAAGCACCAAGAAATGATGCTATTCTGTTCCCCAAGGGACGATTGTCCGCAAGTGCTGGTTACCCCCTGCATGGCATTCTGTTAGGAGTCCTTCAAAATTTCCAGAACCCATTTTGTACTTATGTATGGAGATAGACAGCCACTTGATCCATAATCCTACACACGAGTCATTGAGCCACAACACCTACATGCATGTATAGCTGGAGTCGAGATTTTTCCGACTTTGTTAGGTTTCCTACTGGATCATGTGGTTGTGGTGATGGTACCCCTCACTTCTTACATTTTGATCGGTGAAAACAAACAAAACCCATGCAAAAGGTGTTGAAATGAGGGAGAAGAGAACTTACAAAGCACTTGGGCAAACAGGCAACTTGTTTAATTGGTAACAACAGAGCACGAATCACTACTATTAACTACAAACACTACAATAAATTGTCATTGTTGGCTAGTTACAGTTTACAGCTCTTGTGCATTAACCAGCAATAGTAGGTTGTTAAACAGTTACTGCTGCATAATGATGGCGTCATTTGAATACCAGTCCTTGGAGATAAAATCAACCATCGATATGAACTGAATGGTTTTCAAACTAGCTCTTTAGCCCGCCATGTAACGTTTTCTTACGCTTCAGATACTTGTACGAGAATAACCTCAGTGACCCCACTGAATTAATAGTTAAAAGTAAAAGGGAAAAAGGAAAATTAAAGCATATCAAGAAAGTCTTCAGTCTTGAAGTTGTTGAAAATTTAAAGTGGTACTGAAACCCTTCCCAACTGAACGAAACGTGTAGAGAAATTTAGATTTAGCCGAGCTTAAGAGCGGAGCTCCCGATTACAACAAATTAACCTGGCTTGAGGGTGCGATCCAATCGAAAACCAGTACTTGGCCAGCAGTCACCTTCAATAAAACACATGACCTCGATGAGTCCTGAACCTAAACCTGCGATGTGGTCACGTGATACTGGTTAGCGGATACTGGAGTATGGCCTTCATGTTGCACGACGTCATCGTAGGGCGCACGCGCACGCGCCCGCAACCGTGCCGCTAGTCATGTTGACCATGTAAAACGAGTTGCATGGTGGTCTATTTCTATGTATGGATGTGGTTCTGTTCCTATAGTTATGGAGTTCCGCTATTATGTTAAGAAATTTTGTGAAAAAAGTTTGTTTATCTACAGGATGCCAAAGAAGTCTTCACCACTCAGCAAGTGCTCCAGCCTTTTCAAGTTTAATGTCGTCATCAAGCAGCCCAGCAATGCCTGCTAACTCTGCTGCTGAAGTGTGCAGAACAATGAAAAAAGAATTGCTAGATAAGCTGGAAATCCTGTCTCGAGTTTTACCTCCAAACACTTTAGATGAACTAATAGATGACCTTGGAGGACCAGACTATGTTGCCGAGGTAAGCATATAAACTTACATGAGTTATATATATTCTGTGTGTTCACATTAGAGTGAAAGCGAGCACCACATTACCGATCATGTCATTCCGCTAGGTTTCACTCTAAATGACAATTGGTTATCCATTTTTGACAAGAAACCTTGAAGAAAGCTGGATTTACGTGATCCTCATCACAAAGTGATGTTTGAACACTTGACATCCATTTGATGCAGGCGGATTGACGTGCTACATTCACGATACACACAACGCTTATGAAGTGTTTATTGTAATAAACTCGTGCATTGCTCTTGTCAATAGAAATAAAGGATGGTAATTTAAGGTACTTATCTTATTGATACACAATTTTGGAGGAACTTTAATTTTACGTTTTGGCAGAAAATAATATTAATTTAAGAGGAGCTTAATTTTGCGAGAACTTTCCGAATACTGATTCGTTAAAGCAAAGGGGTAATCTTGGAATCGGCGCTACAGATTTTAAAATTATCATATGCATATTTCAGTTTAGCGAGCTTGAACAAAGGGCTAATGAATGGGTTTTATAGCACGGTTGTTCATTCAAGTTCATTAATTTTAAGATAACCTACTCACCTTTTTGCAGGTCTTAAATAATCGCAATGTTTTTGCAATAACGAAAATCGTGAAAATTATTGGCACAAGAATTAGCAACAATAAAGTACATGTAATGGTCACAGCAGCAGACCAAGATATTGTAACTTTGGCCGAGCGTCACTGGAGAAAATATGCGGTTATTTTCAAAGTAATTGTTTCACTAAAACTCTGTGTCTCGTGATTCGGGGGTTTATTTTGAGAAGATGTGTGCTGAAGCCTAAGTAATTTTTACATACAATGTATCATGATGATGTTTTCCCAGCTATTGAAAAATGTCCGTGTTTTTCCCGGTTTGCTGTTTCATACATCCAGATACACAGGACTTTTCATGTCAAATAAATAGTTTTGTGGTTGATGTTTGGAAACAACCAACTGCTGCTTCAGGCTCAGTTCATTTACAATGAGTTTTGTGTCTTTAAAAACATTATAACGTTAATATCATCATATGCATACAGATTTCCTCAGCAACTCAATGTCTGGCTGCTATAAATTATTTCGAAGAGATACACTGTCTTGTTTTCAGATTCAGAATAATGAAGTGGTATTAATAGTCTCCATCCTCGTCTATTCTGGATGTCATGACTTTCTATATGTATTTACCACTTGATATAAGAAGAGGAAGAACTATAAAGTTTTCTCTACCCATTAGATGACAGGAAGGAAAGGCCGTATTGTGAGTAATAATGATGGAACTATCAGCTATCAGTCAAGGAGTAAACAAGATGTTCCTCTGGAACTACTCAATATCGCCGAGAAAAAACGGTTCATGGATGGCGAGAAGGTATTTTACATCAGTTTGATTGAATTGTTTAATATTAACTGTTATTCAGGGTGATACTACTGGATAATTTTGCTTGAAAGCTCGGCTTATTCCTTGAAACGTGTCAAGTAAGGCTGCGTTCCTTTGGGATGTTCCGGATCAGGATTACTGATCCAAGGTCACTTAGAGCATGGATTATCATTGGTTCCTTTGATGCACCATGATCTGAGTAATCTTGGATCATTAATCCTGATCTGGAACATCGTAAAGGACCGCACCCTAAATTTGGCTGCTTTCAGTTGAAAAATGATGACATCTGTTGGAGGAATATTGTAAAGGAGATTCAAAGGACTGGAGCATAATTAAGCAAGCTTTAGCGGCGAGTAGTGTATCTTTTTGCTCTTGATGTGTGAATGAACTCCAGAGAATCCCGGTGGACATTTTATGGTTTAAAGTACTGTATCGAACACGAGAGACGGTGTTTTATCGGGTTGTCCAAACACAGAGAAGAGAGTTGACAAAATTCGAGGTGTTTGGATAGCCGATGAAACACTGTCTCGAGTGTTATATATATATCTTCTCAATCAAAACAAAAACTAAGGAGTAAACGGAGAAGTAAAATCGTTAAAAATTTAACGTGGAATTCACAAGTCAGGTTACGATTTTTCCTTGAATCGCATAGCCTTCTTTTTAAATGAAAGAAAACCCCGTTTCATTTACGTCTGTGTGAATGTTGCAATATTCAACGCGCTTTCAAGAGTCGCAATTCCACGCTGAATACCTCGCTTAGGTAACCAATCAGGGTGCGAGAAAATCTCAGAGCTATGCGATTCTGTAATATACAATGTATACTGAGTCTTTATTTTTTATCATTAGCTGTGAATGACTTGATATTCAAATTGTGTTTTTCAGAATATTGCCATCATATCAGAAGCTGCAAGCTCGGGTATATCCCTGCAGGCGGACAGAAGAGCCAAGGTATTTACCATGCATGTTTATGATTCATTCACTGTCGTCCGTTTTGCAATGTATTTGTTGAAGTAAGAAATCCTTTTCTAATTGAAGAGTACTGCATTACTTGACTCAAGTTTGAGTGAACGATAACCAATGTTTGTCTTGCATCTCACGTGTGTGCTCCACACGTGTGGCAAAAATAGGATTTAACCTTGTTTGTGGGTGGTGCTTTAAAACACATTTGAATAATGTGATTAATGTATTCAAAATTGGACTCGAAATCAGGTGATTACCCATACAAAATGTGAATGTGCGGACAGGGTCTGAAATGCTTCCCGTGTTCTTTACTTCAGAATCAACGTAGACGTGTTCACATCACTCTTGAATTACCTTGGAGTGCAGACAAAGCCATTCAGCAGTTTGGTAAGAGTTTTCTTGGATCCCTTCACTTCCTCCTGGAAATGCTGTCTCTTTAGCCAACTAAGTAATCCAACAAATATATATTATGAAACAAAATTAATTTGAATGAAAGAACCAGTCCTTTTGATGCCAGTTTTGCCACACGAATGTGTCTTTGCTGTTATCGTTAGTGACGTATGGTTTCCCTGACAACAGGTCGGTCTCATCGGTCCAATCAAGTCAGTGCGCCTGAGTACTTGTTTCTGATATCTGAACTGGCGGGAGAGAGACGTTTCGCTTCCATTGTAGCCAAGCGACTTGAGAGTTTGGTAAGCTTGCACTTTCTAAAGATATGAAGGGGTAAAATGCTGGAAAACATTTAAAAACAGTTTATAGCACATTTCCAATTTTGCTGGAACTCGTATGATGTTACTTTGGAGAAAGATATGGCTATCTGTTCTGCAAAGCATTTATTTTCAACAGATGTACTGTGCATGCATTGGAGTTGCGTTATCACCACCTCTGTGCTAATTTGTTTTCCAGTATCATTCCCCAACATGGTTCAAGACGACCATTAACTTTGTCTCAGAAGGATTCCTATGATGTGGATGTTGCTTTCAAACATCTCATAGCAGTGGAAGTAGAGTAGCATCTGTTGTCTAAGGCCTAATGCTATTCTTAATTCGCTTTTTATTTGAAAGCAATCAAAATGGACAATTTTGAATTTGGTCAACAAAATATTGTTGCAGGGAGCACTTACGCATGGAGACAGACGAGCCACAGAATCACAAGATTTGAGCAGATACAATTTTGACAATAAGGTAAAATGTCTTTACCTATATGATATTTATATGATAATGCATGTTACCGGACAGGATATGTATGGAACTGACCATGTGTGTTTGCCATGATCAGTATGGTAGAGCTGCTTTAGAGGCTGTTTTGAAAGCTGTCACTGGTCAAGGTTCACCATTGATTCCACCACCACAAGACTACAAAGGACACTTTTTTCAAGGTATGTTAATATTTGGTCTGCGAGACACTGACAAATTACGATATTTTGCGATAACCCAGTTCAGTAATTGCTTTATCATTCAATCACCAAGTTTGTTTTCATATGTAAATCACTCTCTGACAATTCAGGGAAGCCATCTGCAATCTGGTTACAATTACTCATGAGCAGAATATTATTTGCAACAAAACACAATTTAGACCGTACTTCACATAGGGCAGACCATTATTCGTAGGAAGTTTTTTGCAAGTCACGTGGTGTGCTCTCGGCCAATGAAAAGGAAGCAAAAACTGCATCAAACGATAAAGACTGTTGCCTGCTAGTTTTGTGATGGTCCTTACTTTGTCTCTGTTATTTTAACAGATGTGCGCTCAGCACTGATCGGTGTTGGTCTTGTTGTCAAAGATGACAAGAGTGGCTTGTCCATTTTAGATAAAGGTAAGGTGGAGTGTTACTCTAAACTTAAAAATAATTACTGGAATTTTAAACTTTTATTTCAAAAGCCACTTTGATTATTGACTCCCCTGTCATTTTTTGAGATATTTCTGAACCTGCTATTGTTCCGAATTACTACAGTTATTTCAGCAATGTTGGCAAATTCAGGATTTGTGACGGCGAAGACTCAACCCAAAAAGCACTGATGGGTTATGTTGATCTCCCTTTTTCAGATTATACCAACATATCACGGTTTCTGAATCGAATTCTTGGAATTGAAGTGGAACTTCAAAATCGTTTGTTTGCGTACTTCACGAAAACGCTGTCAGTTGTGGTACAACAAGCCAAGAGGAGTGGAGGCTGGGATGAGGGAATTCTGGGTAAGACAAGGACACTGAATGCAGAGGCAATGATTGTATTCCAAATCTATGCACGTACTTGGCCTCAGTCAAACCCTAAATACAAAAAAACTAATTTGAAATTCAAAGCTTGAGCTACGAAATAGAATAAATAGAACAGATTTTTAAATCTCACTTGTTATTTCGGCGAATAGAACTAATCTTAACTAACAGAATTTACTCTGTTGATTTGTTTCAGATCTCGGAGCTAATGGTGAAGCAGTGAATAATCTCAGTGTTCAAACATTCGTGGGCAATTCAACATTCGGTACAGCTACTACAGAACTTCACACGGTCAGCAACTACTATACTCGAACTATTTGCAACACATTTGTCAGCCTGAGTTACACGATGTATTTTGACATTTTTATCAGGTTTATCTTACTTGTTTGTCGCAGTGTAACAGCAGTGTTTGAATGTTTGTTTGGGATTGACGTCAATGCAATATCGTCACTTATTTTAGTGCAGAGAAATATAAGTGCAAACTCTGTGAAATTGAAAAAAAAATACAACTACTATGTGTTAACTAGTGTGGGATGTGTATGCCTATTCAGTAATTGTGTTGTTTCATGATCAGGTAAGTGTGGAACGTGGAATGTCATGGGATGAGTCATTACAATTGAGGAGAAGCCACACACATCCTGATGACGGTTATTACCTCTCCCACCAAGTGAGTCATCAACACGTTCTTTACCACTCCAGGTTTTCGTTTATTTATGATCTTTGTTTGTTCAGTTGTATTTATTTATGTTGGTTCATTTCAAATTTTCATGGATTTAACTTTTGAGTAATGAAGTATTGTAGTGCTGTAAGATGACCCAGATTGGTTAAGGCTTTACAACAACAGTCCAGTCTCACTACAGTCCACCATCCCAGCTAAATTTGACTTGTTTCTCTGGAACTGAACTCTTTTAATGTGGACACCTACAAGAACCACACTCATACTGCTTTCTAGGAGAGTTTCACTGTTTTGTTTGTATGGCTCTTGTAGTTGGCAGACAGAAAGGTAGCCTGGTCTAGGTGTTTTGTTGCTTGTTGAGCAGCGCATAAAACAGCAAATGGAAAAAAAGCGAACGGTTTTGGACAACAATGTATCTCTCCGACCTACTGTCGTCTTTTTTCAGCCATCTTTTTTTGCTGCTGTTCCTTCCGCTACTCCTCAACTAACCGAACGACCGAACGACCGAACGATCGACGAATGATAGATAAATGACTGGATACTGTGTAAAAAGTTCACCCACCTTTTTTATGCTATTTACGTGTCCTTTGTTTGTATTTAGACACGAAATAACAAGACAACTGCTATCTTGGTTATTTCTCAATCGCGAAGTAAGAAGAAGAATGTTTTTAGTGTGTACAGACCAAGTACCGGCCTTCAAATAAAACAAGACACACTGGAAGAAATCAAGAAAAAGTACAAAAAGGTATCAACCTAACTATGACCGAATAATTTTTTTTGCTGTACCAGAGAAGTAACAGTACAATTTGTACTGATGGATTTTTCCTGTCTAAAAATTTGTTTTATTAATTTTTGTTATTAACTCGTTCTGGAATTTTTACAGCCCTATACGAAATCGTTTCGTCAGGCAAAACATTGTCGTACCATTTTTGTTTTTGTTTTTATTGATTTGATTAACTTCTCTCTCCAAGAAACCATTAAATTACTCGTTGTCATCCACGTACAAATCGAAGTGCAATGTCAAGGAAGTAGAGTAAACAATTTTGAATGAATTAAACGTTTGTTTATGCACAGTTCAACACTATCAGTATGAAACTGGCTTCCATCGTTCACTCGGTTGACCAAAAAAATTCTGTATCTTCGGAAACAGCTAAGTTTTACACTGTTGAAAACCACTAGGTATTTCCTCGAAAGTAAACAGAAAAGGTATGTCGGAAATTTTCCTACCAGAATTGAATGAGGGTTACCCTTGAAAAAGTTGCTGCATTCAACGTGGAAATAGTATTTAAAGTGCCACTATGATCAAATTTTTACCCCTTGATTTTTTTGGTGTATCACATAGAATGGCATGAAAGAATAAAAACGCCGTTTACCGTTTGCAAATATCTGCATTCGTTCCGGAGATATTAAAGTTTGAAAAATGTGTAAAATATGCAAATAAGATAACCGATGACGTCATATACTCAACCCAATATTATATCAAGCATATACCGGTAAATAGAGCTATCTTGGTCAATTTCCAGCACAGATTACTGAAACTTGGTAAGCTAATAGTTCTACAGATAACACACCTACGGCAATAAAAAATTCTGTTCCCATGGCAACTCACTCTTTTCCAATTTCCACCCACTTGATTTCAATATTTTAGTGATTTTCAGCGCAAAAAATATTTAAAAAGGCCATGAACTCGACCTATCATATTCATATGCTTGCTGGATCATGCATATGAGGTACCATTAACAAATATCAACATAGGCACGCAAGGCATGCAAGAGTTATTTTTTTGTGAAGCGTCGGAGATAGGAGCATTCATGGAGCTGTTTACAGAAATGCTTTGGTTAATTTGACAATTTTTGGGGGGAAAAACTGGGAATGATGTACATGCGATGTTACATCGGTCATGGTAAGATAGTTAAATAGTAAGCCATAAAATGGTTGACTGAACAAACTACAGTAATCTGACACGTCTCCAAATTAATGTAGATACCATCTTATTTTCTAACAGGCAATTTGATTCGTTCTTTGATACAACCCACACTGTGATTAGTGTGACACGCGCACATGCATAACTCCCTCACTCACCTATCACATAGCCCTTCGAACCCCCAAGAGGACTTTTTGCTCAAAAATACTCAAGTTAAAAAAGAGACCTTTTCGCATTTTATACGAGTCGTAAGTTTACCGTTTTTACACGCAACACTACTTCACCGAAAATAGAGAGAAAGAGGAAAAAAACCTCTCTGACACGTTGAAAGTCTGATTTAATTAAATTGCACTTTAACTTGGTGCCACGCAGTCTTCAAAGAACATTTGAGCAGTTTTCA